TTAAATACATAAAAAGTTTAAAAACTAATTTATTAAAATTCAAAAAGGTTTCAAAACTTCTTTGCCAGAAAACTTAATAAAGTTTTTAGAAGTTTAACAAACTTTTTTTAAAGTTTGAAACTTAGTTTTAAAAGTTCTAAAAGTTTTTTTGAAGTTCTAAAACTTTTTAAGTCTTGAACTTTTTAAATTAAAAAGTTTAAAGTTTAAAAATACAACTTGTTTCTCTGTGACATGTCAAAGCAAAAATGAAGACTAATTACATCTGTTAATTAGAAAAGTTAGATGAATAATAAGTAATATTTCAACCAATGGGGTATAAAGAAAAAGAAGGAAAGGGAGGGGTAATCAAACATGACACCTGAGCTCAGAAGCCCCACCCTTTCCTTCCCTTTTTCCAACACCTCTGCCTTTCTTAAGCCCTCCCCTGCCAAACTGACCACCTATGTCCTCCAAGGAGTGGCCATACAGCCTGTCCTTAGGGAACCAGTGATTAGTGTGCCACTTTAATCGTTTTACCCTGCTTCTTAATTACTTTAGTATTCTAGGCTACAAAAAACAATGCATAATTAACATTCCAGATAAAATATTCACGTTTAGAAGATAACGAGAACACAATAAACACACAGAACCTGTGACAGTTGGTCTAAAGTCACAATGATGCAATTTTCATTTATTTAGAGTTTTAATTCTCCATTATCCTTCCCATCCAGCGACTAATAAGCACAGGTCAGGTGACTAAACGCCACTGTCATCTAGACAGTAATACTTTTGAAACAAGCACATTAAAGAGCATTCTCATCCTGGCCCTGTGCAGCCTGACCCAGGTCAGGAAAGGTAACAACCTTTCAACCAGAGAAGGGGTGGGCTTTACTGAAGCCTAGGCCTGGGGGTTTTAATACTTACAAGAAATAGTGATTGGATAGAAATTACATTAGGAAATCAGCAATCAATATACTGTTCAGGGAAACAGATCAATAAAGGTTAAAAATTCAGATGCCTTTATTATACAGGAAGGCAGTTGAAAAGTGAAAACAGCCAATAGCTAAAATAAGAGGGAGGGGATACAAGTATGTAACCCCTCCTACCACAAGACGTTCACTTTTTCTTCTTTTTAACTCTTGAATACGGCGCTAGTTAAACAAATTCAAAGTCTTATCTGGCCTGTGAGGTCACCAGTTTAAGACCTCCGACCTTTACCAATAACAGGCCCCAGACTCCCACTTGCGGGAGGGGGAGGTTTGCAATTTTTGCGTGGGCCTCTAATCCAAAGCTGAATAGTTTAACCATTAAAAGTAACAGGGTAGTGGGCAACAGTAAGTTTAAGTACAAAAATGTTTAAATTGAACTGGGGCAGCACAAGTTAATGTGAGGCAAGGAGCATTGTTACTTGATTTGACTTATAAATCTCTAGCTCCTTAAACCACCCCCCACCCAACGGGGGCTTGAACTTGGGAGAGGTGGGGTCAAAGAGGTTCCATTCCTGAGAACTGAGAGGTCACACTGCATAAAGCCAAGCTGGTTGGACAGATGTCATCTTTATACACGATAGAGATTTCAGTGTCTGTCTTATTAGAAGTTAAGCTTATTTGATTATTAACTCTCCACAGTGACTTCTAAAAACTTTTTTTATTTCCCAGACACACCAAAGAGCAACAATAGCCAAAAAACAACTAATATAAATGTCCCATTAGGAACTGAAACACGTTTAAGCAACTCACAGTTTTAAATTTTCAAATTTGTTGTTCAATTTTTTTATCATTTGTGAAATATAAATTCTATTAATATGCACGTTTTGAACCTCTTTAATACGCAGATACAGAATTCCCAAAGAGGAAGCAGACTTAAAGCTGTAATTATAAGCACATATTTTTCATAGACTATATACTTTTAGGGAGGGGGATTGGAGGGCTACTGATATGGGGGAGTATGCTGACTCATAGTTTGTAAGATATGAACCAGTTTTTTGTATTTCTTCATTTGGTTATAATCATTTTGCATGGTACATCTGTAAGTTACACAGATGTTTAATTATGCCAGTTGAAACAATCTATATTTTGTAATGTAACCACTTTACATTACATCACACAAATTTTAAATGTCAATATGTACCATTAATAACCCACTTGCCCAAAATTTAAGTAATTAGCTTTTTATGAAAAAAGCTAATTACATGGAGATAACAAATAATTAGCTTTTTATGAAAAAAGCTAATTACTTGGAATATTTAAATAATTAGCTTTTTATGAAAAAAGCTAATTACTTGGAATAATTTAAATTGATTTAGTTTTATATTATAATTACAGCTTACATTATTGGAGTTCAAATACATATACATTTTTAATTAAAAAAAAACTTTCAGGTGCAACACATCCCAGGACAGCAAAGTGCCATACGACAGATGAACAAGAAACCAGAATACACCTGCAAACCTGCAGCAAGTTTACAATTAAACTAATTTACTCTGGACACTGAATGCATAATTAATGACTGCCCACCAGGTGCCAGGCACACTTGATTATATGTAGGCAGGCTAGCCTGGGCCAAGCCCCTGGAATTTCCAAGAACAAACCCTGAGGTTCCAATTCACACAAATGCCTCACCCTTAGAGGTCAAGCCAGCAACACCAACAACCCTTGAAACTCCTGTAAAGCACAGTTCAAGTTGTTCCTTGCTTTGTATTCAACAAAGCTCTGATTCCAGTAGGTCCACTAGTGTCTTAGAAAAAAAGTTAAATGTGAAAATTTTTAAAATTTAATTTATTTAAAATAAAAGACACTTGGCTGAACTGCTTTGAGGCACCAGCCATGTCAGCTTAGAAGTTCCCATCATAACCCACTATTAGGAGTTTAAATTGTGGGATTATGTTGTATAATATTACAAGGCACTTATTAAAAGTGATTACGAATGCCAAGTATAATTACTATTCTTAATTTTTTTATGGTTGTTTTTATTATTCTTTTATTTATTAGACAATAGTGGACAAAAAGCAAAACCGCAGCATAGAAACCGCAGGGGGGCGGGGCTGTGCAGCCAGGCTCAGACAAGGAGGGCGCAGAAGCGCAAAGCATAGACCTGAGGGGAGGGGCTGGGAGCCTCACATTGCGCAAGCGCAGGAGGACTCTGGGGAAGGCAGGGCTACAAGCCAGCTCAGAGGAGGCTGGCTCAGAGAGGGGCCAAAGTACTGGAGAGGTGGGGTGGGGGCAGGCCTCCTCAGAGAAGGCGGGGCCTGGGAGAGGTGGGGTGGAGGCAGGCTGCCTCAGAGCAGGCGGGGCCTGGGAGCAGCGGGGTGGGGGCAGGCTGCCTCAGAGGAGGCAGGCCTTGAGGCGGGGTCTGTGCCAGATGGCTCTTAAGTAGTCAGCACTGGGAAGGCGGGGCCTGGGGAGGCGCGCTCTGGGGAGGCGCGCGAAGTAGGCGCGGGGGGAGGAAGGAGGTGCCATGCGCGCTCTGAGCAGATACTGCAGAGAAGGCGCGCTAGGATGGGCGGGGCAGGTCTGAGACTGGCTGCAACAAGACCGCAGAATATCTGCACGCCTCTCGCAAGACCCGCCCCTCCCCAAACCCCTCCCACCACCTTCCAACAACCAAATTCATTTCATGCAGCAAAGAGCAATCACCCTTCCCATCCAATACCCCCCCTCCCACTCAGCAAGCCGACAGTTTCCACAAACTGTTGCTTTGGATGCCAATTCGCGCCACCACAACTACACCACCACTTCAATCAATCGCAACTAGACAGGCAGCCTCTTCTGCCATCACCAAAAGTCAGTGCCCCTCCACTCCACTGCTATAGAGCAGGAATGGTGTGGGCAGAATGTTAAACACTTAATTTCTGCCCTGGGCTCCATTTTGTCTAACAGCACCATCATGCAGAGACCCATCGCGCACAAAAATATAGTGGGAGCCATTCCAAAAGGTGAAAGGGTGGGTCCCCCTCTAAGACGACAAGAGTAATTGCACTCTGTAGCCCAAGTCCTTCTGCAGCTGGCTCATCTGTAGTGGGAACAGTCTGCAGCTCATGTACCCTTGAAGCTCTTACCACTTTGTAGCGCATTTTACGGGTAAATTATTCCGCAGCTCATGTACCTCTGCAGCTCTTGCGCTTTATTAGCGCAATGAAGCGCTGTTGTAGAGCTAATCAAATCATTTTTGTAGCGCTAATCTTCTACAGCTCAGAATTTGTAGAGCATTTAAAGAACAAACCAGTAGTCACCTGGTATATCGCTGCAGTTCATATTAGCATTGCAAGCGCATGAAGCGCCCGTTTGTAGCGCAACTGAAGCGCTTATCAGTTTGTAGCGCATTGAAGCGCCTATTAGTTGTGGCGCGTATCACTTTGTAGCGCATTTGAAGCGCAGATTGCAAATCGGTCTGTAGCTCATGTGTGTCTGCAGCTCATTTCTGTCCGCAGCTCATGTCCGTCTACAGCCCGTCTCTGGACTTGGTCGTGAAGACCACAGCTGTGAAGGCTCGGTTGCCCGCTCTGTCTTGGGGTTCAGCCAGTGAAGGCGTGACAAGGTTTGCGCGGAGATTTTCAGGAGTGCTACTCCATCTCCCGCATCTCTCAATAAAAACGGGGAATGGATGTGATCTTTAAAAAAAAAAATCCTCACCGCATACTCACCACGCGAGGACTCCTCTGCGAAGACAGGAAGGACGGGGGTCCCACACCTGGCCAGGCGCGGGGCTCCGCTGGGTGCTCGCAGCCCGGAGTGGCTCCGGACCCGAGCCCGCTCAGCGGACCTTGCGAGGCTGGTGGACCCTCTCCGCCGTTCTCCTTGGGTCGCAGTCAGGTTTCTTCGACACACACCAACCGAAGTTGAAGCGCGTGTACCCGGAGCCCGGACTGCATGCCTTTTATAGCCTGAATCGAGGAGGGGGGCGCCAAATCCCAGCGTGCTCCGCGGGCTGGGGGGCGGAGGGGGGGGTGCGTGGGCGGGCGGGGAGGGGGGATGGGGAGTGGGGGTGGGGGCGACGGCCTCGCTGCACTGGCCCGCCGCTAGGGGGAGTATGGGATTAAGGAGGGGGGGTTCAGGATGCTGATGCTGAACTGGCCAAGCTGGGAGGAAAGAAGAAAGGGAGGGGAGGGGAGAATCGAGGACGGCCGGCCTAGCCGGGCCAAGAATGCAATTGCCCCGGTGGTGGGAGCTGGGAGACCCTTGTGCTTGGACGGAAAAGGGTCGGGGGACACGCAGGATGAGCCCCGCGACCACTGGCACGTTCTTACTGACAGGTTAGTGGTCTGCGCGCGATGTGGAGGCTCGGGGGCCACCAGGCCGCCGCCTCCCCTTCCCCCACTCGGGTTCCGGGTACCAGGGTGTGCCCTTTTTGGGCACCAGCCCCTCTTGATGCCTCAAGCCCCAATGCACCCCTATCCAGGACACCGCACCCCCCACCTTAAGGGTCCTATGTCCCTTTCCAGGCTTGACCCTGGTCCTTTTTTTTTCTGTGAGCCCTGCGGGCCCCTCCCTGCCCAGTGGGCGCAGAAATTCCATCTCCAGTTTCTCTTCCCAGCACCCCTCCCCCCCCAGGCCCCCTTGGTGGACCTCTCTCCCTCCGGCCTCCAAGACCTGGAGGTCTTTGCCCATTTTGGGGGCGGGGGCGTTACCCCGCGATTATGGCTCCTTGGCCTAAATGCGAGCCAAACGAAATGGGTAACAAGATGCGTCCTCTGCACAAATAATCCATCTTTTCTCCTTTTTTTGAATCTCATTGAGAGTAGAACATTAAAACGTGACATTTAAAAGAAAACAAAAACCCAATTCCCCCTTCTTCCTTAAGCTCATTTCTCTGTGGTGGAAATCCCATTTTTCTTAGTTTTACCAAACAGGGAAGCAGAATCATGAAATGCTAGGAGCCAAACAGGGCGCTCAGGTCAGGGTCAGCCCCGGCTGGGCCAGGGATGCCGCCAGGAGCACCGATTGCCCCACCGAGTGCGCTATTTCAGGAAAGCACAAACAATTGGAAACAGCTGTGGATGCTTCCAGGGTACTTGGCGGGCGCTGGCGGCTGCCAGCCACGGACTTTCAGTGGTGATTGCCAGGTCTGTGGAGACCTCGCTGTCTCCCTGCAACGTTACGGTTTCCTACATCTTGTAGGGTGAATGTATGCGTTTAGTCACGGTAACCGCAAATTGAATCCTTTGAAGCCGGTTGCCGAGATTCGGCTCCAAATATTTGCGTGATTTTACACGTATAAACATATATTTATCTGCATATCTATATATTTACATTAGGGAAAATTGCAGTGGGTTACAAGACTCTAAGATACTGATGAGAAGGGATGCTAGAGAAAATCTTAACGGAGACTCCCATCTAAGCTTCTCAAAGTATGGGGCGCTAGGAAAACTGACAATCTGTTGCTAATCTTAGTAAAAGAAGTTAAGTTAAAAGGAGGAATCAGTTGTCTACAACTGAATTAGATTGCTGAAACACAGATGAAACCTATTTGCATTTGAGAACTGAAATTGAGCATATTTTACTACTGTTGCTACACCTCATTGTTTTTTTTAAATATATACTTAGAGAATAAACGAGAATTTGACCCTTTGTACATGACAAGGTGGAAGGGACCGCACTTTAAAAAGCGAGCCTTTTAAGGAATAAACAAAACTTCAGTCCATTTACTGAGATTTTGCTTTTTATTAGGAACAAAGTTTTGACCATCAGAAATCTGAATGAAGTGCAGATTTCCAACACTGAAAGACATTTTTCAAGGGAGTTGGGTGGAGATAATGGTACTTTTTAGAAATGCTTTTGTAATTTAAACTAAAGATGTTCACTCTTTTCTGCAAGATAGAATAATTCCAGGATTGCTGTTTGATAGACTATTCTTCTGGTGACTGCTAGACTTTTAACATTCTTAGCAGTTGGTGTTTTAATCCAAAGTTACTTCACCTAGCTGTTAACTGATAGACATCTTTTCTTTTTTCTAAAACAGTGAGATTAAAATCTAATGTAGATAATAAGTAAGGAAAATTTAAGTTTAAAATCCTCCCCGGAGACTTTCAGAGTTTGAATCAATTTGACTTTTTCAATTCAAAATGTTTGCCAGGATTTTTTGCGAAAAAAAAAATTTTAAAAAGACTTTATTACTATATTGTCATAATAAAAATCATTCCTCATTTTGACTCATTGTCAAAATTCAGGAGACCCCCTAGGAAATTAAAGAAAATCGAGGTCACCTGTAACCTCGGTACCCTGCAACAAAGCCGGTCAATATTAGAGCCTTTCTCAGACTTTCTCTATGCTTCCATGGGTATCTAAAAAATATTTTTTTTCATAGAATTACTCATATACTTTCTAAAGGTTAAAAATGGAGTCAAATTAATTTTCCTCAATAATATTCTTTCCAAATAGCCTTTAAATATCAAATAACATTACATTTGCAGCTTTCTTTAGAAAGAAATATTTTCTAAATAAAATTTTAAATGAAAAACCTTAGGATAAAATTATAAAACTGAGTAGAATTTCCTCTGATCTCACTATTGTAAACATTCTTAGCTATCACTTTGGTATTTTTCCTTCTTTTTTTTAAATTACTCTACAGATGAAAAAATTCACATTACTTAGAAATATAATTTTCTAAGAAAAACCCCCACCCAATATCTAGTAGATAACTAGATAAAACGTTCTTGCTAGCTAAAACAACAAAGCCATATTTAAAATAACAGACATTAATAGATACTTCAGATTTTTTGTTACCTAATACAAGAAAAACAACTTTAAAAATCAAAAAACCCTAATAAGTGTTGGTAGATAAGAACTTTCAATACTGTTCTGCCATTTAAAGTCTAAGTGAATTTTATATTTTCTCAGATGTTTGCTCTTGATGTTGACTGTTTCCTACCCGCTTTTCACAAGGTTAAATGCAAGGCAAAAGAGCTGGTAGTATGCATTATTTACTTTAGACAAATGATAGCTGAGCTTTGTATTTGGACATTTTATCCATTTTTATAAGAGTTTGCTCTGGATGTATCAAGCTGTTGCTTTATCAGCTATGTTAACTTCCAGTATGGTGGGAAAATTGTATTTCAATACCAAGTGGAATTTTCATTTTCAAATAATAGCTAGTCTCTCTATTTGGACATTTTACCTATTTTTTTTTTGACAGTTTGCCACAGATCTATGAAGCTGTTGATTTATCTCATGTATTTAGGTTAATTCTAGGAGAGTGGGAAAATTCTATTCCAAAACAAAATAGGATTTTCACATGTTAAATAATAATGGATTTTCTATTTGAACATTTTATCCATTTTTTAATGGCAATTTGAGTGGATCTGTGAACTTCCTGGTTTTACCATCTGTATTTGTCTTAATTTCTAATATGGTAGGGGAAATTTATTTCTAAACAAAGTAGAGTTTTCAGTTGTCAAATAGTAACTGGACTTTGTATTGCTCATTTTTATCCATTTTTCTAACAGTTTGCCATAAATCTAACAGCTGTTGATTTACCTCATGTATTTAGCATAACTTCTAGTATGGTGAACAAATTGTATTTCTAAGCCAAGTGGAATTTTCACTTGTCTCACAGACTTTGAAAATAGCAAGGAACAACACCATAAAAACTGGTTAGAGATAATCTCACAGAGTTAAAGGTAACTTGTATCCAGTTTCCAACACTAGTTTTCCATTGATGAAAATCATCCTGTAAACAAAATACTAAGGCGGTGAAGAAATCCTGGCTTGTTAAAAAATTCTCAAGTCAAATATTCAGATTGTTTGTGACTCTGATCAGTGCCATATTTACCGATTGCATTTTCTCCAAAATAATCAGCCACCTCACTGCTTTTTCTTTTCTTTTTTTTTTACCAGTTGTTCACACTTATTCTACCTGATCCCTTTTCTTAAAACTTACAGCCAAATACATTTTATCATTTGTCTTATTTCCTACTCTTAGTGTAAAAAATGACTCTAGATGAGTAGATGATATCAGTTTATGGGTCTGTTAGAGATTCTTAGGCTGGGTGAGAACCTTTACACTTTGCTCTCTTTTAGTCCAGAGATTCAGAGAAATATCAACATGATGACTCTTTTCTTTCCAGATTTTCCTAACCTCCCTAACAGAAACAGACAAACAGACAGTCACATGCACCATCCAGACTTTTTCTGAACTTCAAGATCCAGTTCTCTGTCTACTATCTCCCTGATTTCCAGAAATATTAAGTCTAAAACAGCAATGCAGTTTAAAAAGAAAAAAAAGAAGAAGAAGAAGAAAAAGCTGGTGTTTTTAGGGATCAACAAGTCATTTCAAATAAATATTTTTTCTGCTTAGAGTTTTCAGGTTGGTAGAAGATAGATTCTCAGTGCTCTTAGAGCTATTTCACATGGATTGCTTCCAAGCCAAATTCTCTCTACATAATTTCCAGTGTTTAAAAAGCTCTTTTAACAATGTAACTGTATTAAAAACATTGAATTAAGGAGAAATCCCGTCTTACAACCTGACACTAAAACATTTTCACTGACACACCTTCCTTTCTGCACTTTGCTCTGTGTGCTTGCATACTTTGATAGAATCATAATTTTAATATTGTAGTTCTTTTACACTTTGTTTTGAAAGACAAGTGAGTCTTGCTTTTAGCAAAGCAATTGTCAAGGCTGCAGGCTGCTCATGTATGAGAGATGGTGTATACTAATTGACAGAATTGTGTAAGTGAGAGGTTGGCTGGAACCAGCACTGGCCAGGTGTGTGGGTTACTGGGTTTGAGTCAGGGAGTAACCCTGGTAGGGTCACAAACCTTTGCCCTGGGTCTTCTCTTGTTTAACGTTTGCATGAATGATTTTGACAAAGATCTAGGAGGTTTGCTTTAAAATTCATGGATGACTGGAAAAGGGATAGCTGTTACAAACAGATAACAGAATTTAGAGTTAAACACTAGTTAAGTAGAGTGCAGTGCTATGCTGAAAGCAAAAAGATATTTTATAGCAGTAAATGCATCATTGTTCATTGATGTGGAAGGAAGGAGGTGACTGTATAGTGGCAGTTCTTTAGGAAAAAGAAGGTTAATATGAACCAGAGGCATGATGGGGCTTAAGAAAAAAAATTCAGAGTTAGACTTTGGTGATAGAGTAATGTCCGTGTGTCACAAAAATTAATAGTACCTTCCTCTAATCAACCACATCTGTAGAATTGTATTCATTTCTGGCTGTCACATTGAAAGAAAGACGTTGACAAATTAGACGTCTTCCAGAACAGTCTGTGGGGAGCGTGAGGGGTCTGGTAATTCTGTCACAG